ATTTTTCACAAATATGTAATGTTATTTTAAGCGACACACGAACTAAAAAGAAAAACTAAAATAACATCAGCGCGCCTCTCATGAACATCGTGTTAGCTTTCCTTGGGTTCGATTCACTGGGTCTGGCATTCTTTCCTCCTGGGCTTTCTTTCGCCATCTATAATCTGATACCATTGTAATGGAAGCTGCAGCTCTATTGTTGCCCCGACTGGGAATCGAACCCACGCAAAGCTGTCACGCAGTTTATGAGTCACCCGAGAGAGACGTAGAACCATATTTGATCCGAACATTTTTGCCTAGTTATTTTGTTTTTTTTTTCTTTTTAGTGCATGTGTACTTCAGATCAGCCAGTCGCAGACAGATAACATTACACTTTCGTGAAAAACCAAATTAAATTAATAAAAAGACCAGTGACCAATTAAATTTAAAAAAGGTGTAGCTATCTTAGGTTGCGTTATTTAAGTGCATTTCGACCTCGCAGCGATCACATTAAGCTCTGACTAGCTGTCATTAGGCGAAAGGCCAGAGTTGTGCAAAGAGGGTGTCGTGAATTTTGATTGGCGCGCAACGCAAGGAAAACATAGATTCGCCCGCTTGCGCCCCACGGACGGCGGGCCGCGGTGGGGTGTTAATGGTAGGATGTCGGTGATGGGTTGAGGGTAGTGGAATGTGAGCTACAGCCGGTGGGGTGTGGGTTGTGGGCAGTGGCTGGTGTTACATGGAAGGTGTGATGTGTGCGGTGGGATTAGTGGGGTGGAATGTAGCCGTGGGCGAGATGTCAACAGGTCGGTGATAAGCGGTAGGTAGTGGCCAGCGGACGGAGAGGTGGGCAATGGGACGAGGTGAGCGGTGGAGTGTTTTTGGTGAGATGTGGGAGTTGGGATGCGGCCGGGAGGAGGTGGTGTGTGGGCAATTGACTGTGGACCGTAGACGGCGAGTGTAGGGTGGTGAGCGGTGGGTGTGTCGGTGGGAGGTGGGCGAGGGGCAGATGGCGTTGGGGGGCTCGAGTTTAGCGATGGGGTGTTTTTGATGGTATGTGAGCTGGAGGATGTGGGATGTGAACGGTGGGTTTCGACAGATGCTGGTCGAGGGTGATGGCCGGCAGACGGCCGGTGCTCGGTAGTGAGTATGAAGGTGGACGGTGGTGAACGAACGGTGGGAGGTTTGAGGTGGACAGTAAGATGAGGGCGTTGGCTTACGAGCGAGGGAATGTGGGTAGTGGGACGAGAAATGCCGGCGAGGAGCGACAGGCAGAGGGCGATCGGCGCGAGGCGGTGGGCCGTGCAGGTGGGCGGTGAAGGTGGAGCTGGGCGGTTGCAGGTGGGCGGCGCCCTACTTGGCAGCGGGCGCGTGCTCGCGCGTCTATTCCGAGCCGCTGCACTCGCATGCGCCACGCGCTTCCACGGTCGCCCCCGCGCAATCAGTCGCGGCGTGCGTCCGCCTCGGCCACGCCCCCTTCCCTCCCCTCCCCTCCCTCCAATCCCATCCCACCCTCACCCGCCCTCCAGCCACCGCCGCTGCGCAGCTGGGGACTCCGCGCGGCGGCGAACGCAGCCGTGCACCGACAGGCCGCCTGCGCTCCCCCTCCCTCCCCGTCCCTTCCTCCCTCCCCTTTCACGCCTCCCGCGCCCACCTCGTCGCCCACGCGTCTCAAACCACCGCCGCGGCGCAGCTGAAGACTCGGCGAGGCCGCCCAACAGGCACTACGCGTCCCCCCCTCGCTCCCTCCCCCCGCCAGCGCTCATCCCGCTATCTGCGACATCCGCCGCCTTCGCCATGCTTCTCCTCCTTTAGATTGACTGGCGTTTCCGGGCACGGCATTTGCGAAGGACAGTTTCGCCAGGGAAGGGAGTGGGGGGTGGCTGTGATACATCCACGCTGGATGGGGAGATCCGGCGCCAACAACATTAACCTCGGCTTGCGGGTGGTTTCCCTTTCTAGGTATCTTCTCCGGTGTGACATTGCCACAGCCGGGAGAAGCTCTTACCCCGGGTTCTCCTACTGGCGACCCGCAGTGCTAATTATTTTGGCCCGCGAAAGGTTTTTAGTCAAAAGTGAAAGACACTTTTTTATCCGTGTCGGACAAGAGAGCCTAGCGCACGCGCCCTGCAGGGGTCAACTCCCCTTAATGTAAAAATATGTTAAATGTACATTTAAGAATTTTTTATAGGAAAAAGTCAACCCAGTGAGTTTCACTGCGTTATACGTGGTATGCCTGATATCATGAATGGTTCCATTTCCCCTCCCTCCGTTTCAAAGCAGCCAGGCTAAGTTCCGAGAACAACAATATGGGGAAGTCACGTGTCAATCCCTGGAGTAATGAAAACAAGACCCGCAATCATGTTAAAGGTTTTAGTTGTGTACCTTAAGGCTTTGCAAGTCTAACCTCTACATCTCCCGGCTTATGTTGCGGTGTAGTACATATAAGGGTAAGTATGTCAGGGGTAACGAAATGACAAGGAAAAGGAAAGAAAGATTGCACGCTGTCCGTAGCCCATTTGTTAGGGTACTACTGCGGTATTCACCTTGCATATCGAGGAAACCTCGCAAAACTACCGTTCAGAGCAAGTGGCCGCTATAGTCTTCATCCAGACATGATGAATTCGACTAAATGTCAAAAATCGTCCACCATTGTGACTCGAACCCATTGTGACTCGAGCAGAATCGTAGTGTGCTTCAGAGTCATCTGTAATGCTGGTTCTCTCCTCCCATCTTCTTTCCATACGCCGCTTGCGTTAATTTGTGCAATTAACGGGCATCGCACCCCCTTTCGTTCCATTTTGACCCCTCACTCTTTACCATTCCTGTTTTCATCTCTCCCCCTTTTCGCTTACCCCCTCCCTCACGTGTACATCACTTACCTCACGCACCTTTCCTCGGCTCGTTGCTTCCTCTCGCCTTCACCGCCGCCCTCTCACCTCCTCCTTTTCCTCCTCCTGAACCTCCTCAACCTCCTCCTTCTCAACCTCCTCCTCCTGAACCTTCTTCTTCTCAACTTTCTTCTTCTCAACCTCCTCCTTCTCAATCTCCTCCTTCTCAGCCTACTCCTTCTCAGCCTCCTCCTTCTCAGCCTCCTCCTTCTCAATCTCCTCCTTCTCAACCTCCTCCTCAATCTCCTTCTTCTCAACCTCCTCCTTATCCACCTCCTCCTTCTCAATCTCCTCCTTCTCAGCCTCCTCCTGAACGTCCTTCTAAACGTCCTCCTCCACCTCCACTTCCTCCTCGTCCCCTCGTCCATCGGATGGACTCGGAATCATAAAATGTTGCCTAGAACTTCAGGTAAGAAAAGTAGGCTCATAATCCCCACTGGGTCATTTCAGTATTCAGTTACATCGTAAATATTCCGTGTACATATCCCAAACGTGACTTTGTTACTGTGTAAACAGAATATTTATTATTTCAAATTGTGCAAAGCGTAAATTACCCAGTCTGGGAATTGAGCCCAGGGCGCCTGGTGTCCGCGAAGTTTGTCTCAGAAGTTCACTGGTGAAAGTGTATGTGTAAATCAGGAGCCAGGATTTTGATTCCTGGAGAAGACGTCTAATGTTAGAAATAGTAATCGGAAGCACGAAAATAACAGCCCAGAGCGGACGCCTGTGGAAGCAACTTTGTACACCATTGTGTATGGCCAATTGCATACCTTCCAGGCGTCGCACTCGCAAAGTTAATAACGGCATTGGCGCGGCGTCTGTTAGTGGGCGGCAGACAGCTGTCGAACCAAGCCAGTAAAGAATCGGCGCAGCGCGAGGCCTACACAGGCAGGTATACAGTGGGGCAAACGTGAGGAAATGCGGCCACAATTCAGAAATTTAATAATTTATTTTCAAGACATCAAACCGGAATTGTAATAACTATAGCTTGCAGCAGCTGCAATGCTGCAGTGCTGGTAAACAAAACCACACAAAATGGTTTTACGAAATATACAACGCACCCTGCTAAGAACACAAATGAAATACATTCGTCTAACAGGCAATAAATTAGATATTTTAACAAAAATTATATTCACAAATACCGCAATGATTTAGTACTATTCCATAACGCATCACATGAATGGCAAATATTTGATGGGCCGCGGTCTCTGCCTTGAAGTCTTCCTATTGCATGCCATCAGCTCTGTCGTAAGTAGATCTAGTTTGAGAATTAAGTCGTTAAGCGCAGTATCAGATACTGCAGATAAACATAATCCAAAAACTTCATTTTTGAAACAAACTATTGAATTCTTATTAGATGTTTCGAGTTTGTGAAAATCTAACGAAACCATAGATATCCATATCTCACATGTTGCCGCAGGTAACATAGTTACATGTTAATTTATCGGTATATTAGAAATTAGTAATATAGACGTTTTTGTATTTTGCCCGAATTCCTGGGTAACTAACAAACCCATAAATAGTTACCTCTAACCTGGCTGGCTGCTGAGTAGTTTCTTTTCAATTTTTGCGCACATTGAAAATAATAGTAATAAATGTTCTTACTTTTTTCTCGAGTCCCTGGATATCTGGATAATTTTCTTTCAATTCCTGGGCAATTACTAGTATAGATAATAATATTAATAATTATCATTAATAACAGCTGGCTATTATACTGACCATATTATTGAATAGCGGGAGCGCGATTGTCTGCAAAAACATTCTAAGTTTCAAACTCTAAAAACAAGTGAATTTTTTAATCGCCTTTGTTTCTTTCGGCGAAGAAGATTCCTCTTTATTTGTTAGATAGTTGAAAGAGTAGTATTTCTCAAGTTGCAGTATTATAAAATATTTAACCATCGCAAATATTTTATGATATTTTGAGGAAGTATGTGCTGTTGAAGCACTTCAACGAATTTGCATTAGCCACTATCAAAATACTGAATCTATTTACGTAGGCTACTTTTATATCAAAAACGATATAATCAACTGCACAGATTCAATTTTATATATTTAAATAATTTTGTAAGTATCAAAATACAGTAGTTTTACTTCAACATTCCACTGCAATACACTCGGCTCTGTTTTTAGGAATTTCTCATTTATGGTCGAACGCCATATGGGCAGAGCTTCGACTCACCGCAGATAAGTAAAGAAGATGGCCGATTATAGAACCATATCTGGTGCTTTTACCTGCGATAGGGTGCGATATGATATCAAGTACGCCATTGCATTTGTTTCCTATAAGCGTAGCCTTTGTTTTGTCAAGTGTGTTAATGTTATAATGTTCCTCGTCGTTTCAAAATTAGGAAGGTTTTTTACCGACAAATATCCTAGAAACAAATGTAAGTAAATTAAAAAATATCAAAAAAGAAATAGAGGTTTTCGTAGTGTAGTTTTTGGTGAAAAGATAACGGAATTATTTGGAAATGTTTCTTTCAACAGACTCTTATCCAGTTTTCCTGTTTATTATTCCCAGATTAATTTACTTTCAAGATCGTATGTAGTTCATTTTATTTACTTGTCGTTATAAATAAGTTAAACACTGTGTGACATATGAGAACTACAATCTGCGAACACTTTATTATTTTTAGCTACACAATTTGTATGCTGACTTTTTTAAGTCCAATTCTGAAGACAATACGATAATCAACATTTGACAAAATTTGATAGCAAGAACGTTTCTCCCTCGTGCTATAGAAAAAACGTTCATCAGCAAATCATTTACTGCGTGTGCTTTTATCCCTTATTGAGCTCCATGTGAAACAAACAATTGACTTCTAATGGAGAACTATAAAATTATGGTTCTGCTGATGAATTAAATTTTTCACTAACACTCCCAAGAAAATTGCTTGTGCCCATCGTGTGCAGCTACTGAAGCTAAATGTATGTTCAGAAAGAAAGCACGAGACCATACGCTCAATGGAACAACACAAAACTAAATGAATTTGTCATTGACGCAAAAGACGAACTGCTGTACTTTCTAGTCTAGTAATATTTAGTGTTTTAGAATTATATTTTTCAAACGATAACTAATGAATTTCTATAATTTTACATAAATTATTTTCCTTTTGAATGCTTATTATAGTCTAAATGTATAGAATTATTTGTACAGAAATATAATACTTGTCACTTAAACTTGTTTATTAATTTTAATTTACAATAGTCGTCTGGCAAATAAATGTATTTGTTCCTGCATGTGTAGTAAGATCAAGTTCTCGTATGTGAATTTTTATGCAGTGGGCTCTTGGTACTGATACCTTAAGAAAATGATTCCTATACCTTAAGAAAATGATGGAATATAATGTTATAATTGTAGACATTTATTGGCTAAAAATATTTTTCCACTTTTAAGTGTGTTAGTTTTGAGAGAAAAAGAATTATCTCTCAGCTGAAGCGCGTGACCCGGGGTACTGAGCAGTCATCTTACGAGCTCACAACACTTGTCTTGACATCTCAGCCTGTAGGCGATCTCAAATACATTCACATATTGCACTATGCACTTCTGTATATCGGAATGCGCAGAATATGAAAGATAAACGGGCGTTTGCATGACAATCAACCATTGACATTGCAACTCTTGTAAGGCTAATAATTCATTCACTCAGCTTATTATTTCTAAAAGTTATTATCAAAATTATTGTCGATGCGATGGTACGGAATTTATATACCTCAAAAATCCGACTGCATGTCTTTCATCTGACATAAATTTTGTATTATATATAAACCAAAAAATGTAAACCTATCATTGATGTAACATGATATTTAGACGTTATTTTCCCTAAAAAGTTTTTCATTCTGAATCTGACACTTGTTTTATCCCCTAACAATTGCAAGCTACATGTTATACGTGCCTAATGAATTGAAAACGTTTAAAATAAGTTGCTTCACATTCTGTCGACTTTTCCTCTTAAGTTTTACAATTGCAAATGTTGAGGGCGATGGAGAAGATTATTTTCAAGGCACTTTCGTGAAAAATGCTCTTCACAGAATCACTGAATTGACACTTAACGTACACAATTACATAAGCGCAATTTTAAACAACCAATCTTGACACTAACACAAAAGTTTCATTTACGCTCATTGATTCTGCACAACTTAAATACTTCGATTACTCGATAAACACTCCTTTTACTCTCTTCGCTATTTTTTCGAAACTACTTTCTCTCTTGGTATGTATGATTCGTTTATCCCGCTCGTTTTAATTACTACATAAGAAGTAATGCTAATTTATGCAATATAATGTAAAACTTTATTTGTGTTGTGTGCACATGCTTTGAAAACGAGCGACGTTAGAAGCGAGTTTTCAAATTTGTACGAATATAATAACACAATTATAAACGAGTTTCCTTTAGCTATATTTTTTGTATCACAGCATTATAAATTTGTAAGAAAATCAAACTTCATTTTGCAAAACAACTTTCTTGTGACGTCTAGGGTATTTGACATCTTTGCAACAAAACTGTTAATCTGTTCCCTTTACCTCTACCTCCCCACAATTCTCACGCTGTCTTTAGCTGAATGTGTGCTGACGCAGTCATTCGTGCCGTAAAATGCTAGTACGTCATTATTAGTGCCATAAAATGCATTTCTATGAACGATTTATTGCAACATAAAACGTTGTTTATAATCCTTGTACACAAAAAATTAAATTTACATTGTTTTGAAATGTTTATTTATAATATTCTACTGAATATTACAGACATTTACTTGAATTTAACGGAACGCTTTTTTTATTACGCGTATACAATTAAAATTCCCAGGAAGGATGTTCATTGTGGACTTACAACCAATCAGACTGACTATCTACGTAGCAATGTTTACATTCACTTCATTTTCTCTTTGGATAAAAAAATGGAACAAAGTAATGTCCCACAAACACTCAAACAAGATTATTCTGTTTAATTCGTTCTTTAATAACAAATTCCTTAATGTTTCTTCTGCCTCCACCAATACGTTTTGATTACTAATTAGACATTTTTCTTCATATTCTTCTTTCAAGACTTTCACCCCGTAAAATTCTCAATCATCCAGATTCTTTTTAATCTTCCCGTCATGCCAGCATTTCTCACTTCCTTGAGTGGCTTGTCCCGTCTTATTCACTCCACTATTTATAGACCATATCTCATACTTTGTTTGTCAGACAAAACTCTACCATCCCGTCAGGACTATAATCGTATTCATTCATTTTCAGAATATTTCGCCATCATAACCAATTCTCATTACTAATATATTCCTTTTTCCATTTTTCTATTATCCGGGAACCTGATTTGTTTCATGAAAATGATGACTCTCCATGATTTGCTGGCAAACCTCTCGTAACTTGGCATTACTCCTACCAGCACCTAATTGCATAGACTTTGTCCCGAGATAGAATACAGCTGAAAATGTTTCTTAACATCGAGAAGGTGCCAGTCACAAGTCGTTTAACAACTCCTTTGCTTGATGAATGTACGTAAGCTTCACGTTATCTCAGGATACATGTCAAGATTGATGGAAAGATAAAATGTCACATTGACATGGCATTGGTGAAGCCTCTCTGATTATTCGCGTGTATTTAGAAGGTGAATATCCATATTACTGCGTTCCTTTCTAGTTATTAGAATTAGGATTATTAGAACCTATTTTCAAAAAATTATAAGAAGGATGGATAAATGTGTTTGGTAAACAGAAGGGGCAGAGAAGTTAACAGACTTTTTAAGAAATTCTATGTTGAATATCGAGGATTTCACCTCAGAGTCTAGGGAACAAAAACTCCTCGTCATTCTCATAAATGTCCGTATATTTAACTAGAACTTCTTTTTTGTATTGTTATTGAGTGGTCTAAAAGTTAGTTCAAAACCATCATTGAAAGAGATCTTATATACCCAGAGATTTATTTATTTTCTAATTAAGCTTAGATTAATTAATTTAAAACATCAAAATACACTTTTTCTAATAAAAAATTAAAAGTGTTCATAATTCAAGTTTGGATTCCACATAGAAATCACATTTCAAGTGTTCACTTCCTATCTTAAAATTATCTGTCTTTCATAAATCTCCTAATATGGATGCAACTGGGACAATTATATCTCTGAGAGATTGTAGTGACTTGCAGTTTTATGTTAGCTCTACATTGTACTTACAATAAAACTGTGGTATGTATCATATTGCACAACTTTACGTTTAATTGTTTGCCTCAAAAATCTGAAAGCTATTGACATGTATTATTTGCCATCACTCACAAAATTCACAGACACATTAGTTTTGTTTTTCGACTCACTACATTACGTATTAAAGAGAAAGAATTGCAATAATGAAGTTGAATTGTCGATTGTGGGGAACCTGATATCGCAAAAGGCCCTCGCGGTTTAGCTTCTTGGTCAGCGTGCTCGCTTTCCATGATGAGACCCCGGGTTCGATTCCCCCATTGCCGCGAGTCCGGGACGCTACTGGTAGGCCCTGCCCCGCTCCCGGGCTGTCGCGCCAAGTACAGACAGATATCCAAAAAAGTCTATATTTATATCATTATCATTCTAATTATTATTAAAATTATATTTGTTTCTATATGTCAAAATTACTTCCTCTAACACATTATGTAGTCAGAATACCGTGTTTGATAGTGAGTCCTTGATACCGAAAAATTTATTGTTGGCAAAACGTTTGTTCGCCATTATGTGTCTGTCAATGGTCAACACTAAAACCTAAAGATTTCTGACAATTTTCTCTAAAATGTATATTCCAGAGTTTATCTGACCGAACTCGTGGCCCTGCGGTTTTTAATATATTTTCATTTTTAGTGCTTTACATCAAGCTTCAACTATATTTTCAAAAATTCTCTGAAAATGGCTTAACATTTTTTTTTAATTTTTCCTCTGATGTAGCAAAGTACGTTTAAAAACGTGCACAAGTAATATTTTCGTTGCAAGCACTGAAGTTTCAAAATTACAAAAGTTACAAATATGAAAGTAGAGTAAGAAAGAATGTCATGTAATAGCCCTACTTTTAAACATTACACGAAAGCACTGTTACCGTAAGTTTTACATTCTTCCAAGCAAAACGAAAAAGATATTAAATAAATAACCCACAACTGTTCATAAATTCAATAGTGAATAAAAATAACCTTTTTAATTATATAAGCTTTCAATAAAATGACATGACCATCCTGTATAGTTTTGAAATGTAACATAGCACAATGCGTAGAGGAACATAAAT